CAGTCGCTGGTCTCGCAGCCGTTGATCCCCGCAATTCGCCAGCCAGACGCAACTATTTCCAGGCGAATTCGTGGTCCGATCAAGGTGCAGGCCGGGCTAGATAAGCTCGGGTTCCTGGGTCGACTAGGCCGGGTGATTAAAGAGAAGGCGCAGAGCGACTTTGACCGCGTGTTCAAGGGTGTGACTAAAACGAGGGAGAGCCTGAAGGTTGTTGACGAGCTCTTGACGTACTGGAATTTAAACGAGTCGGACAATATCCTGGAAGAGCTGGAGGAGGTAAGCCGTACAAGACAAGTCACATGGCTTCGTGATTTGTGATATAAACTGTTCACGCATGGAAAAATGAAGGAGAATGCGAGGGTGCATCAGGATAGAAATTCAGCCCCTGACAGGCTGTCGATGGATTCAACTCCTCTTTATCTTCGATTTGTTTCCCGCCCTTTCTCTGTGTGTTTTCCCCTCTATCTAATTGTTGAAGGCCCTCATTGTCGCGGATTTCGGGCCGCGCACTGCGCTTCGCATAGTTGACGGCATCCGAGAGGAGATTAACGCGGGGCAGCTGAAGACCGGCAAGGAGATTAAGGTGAGTTGGGACTTAACTCAAATTTCAACTTTTGATGATAGAGGAGATTGAATCCTGATTAAAGCTCTAACATGGCGATACAGTGAACGGGGGTGGGGAAGGGGAGCCTCAAGTCGAGGGGATTATGACGCAAGGGTAAAAGGAGAACGTGGAATGTAGAAACGCTTTGTAACCGAGGGGTTGGAAAGAATATCGACTAGGAAGGATAAACCGCGAACCCAAATGCTCCTTGTCTTTTTGCATTCACACTATCCCCTCCTTTTCCCTCCACTCCCTCACACTTCCGTCCTCCCACTCTCCCTCCCGCCCCTCGCCCGCCCGTTCGTGTCACGCGACAATCCCCTCCTTCTCCCCTCCCTCGGCCCGCCCGTTTGTGCCACGCGACTCCAGGAAGCGCTGAAGCGCGCCATTGTGAAGCTCCTCACGGACAAGGCGCCCGTGACCGCGCTGCAGCTCGGCACCAGGTGCGACGTGGGGGGAGAGGGGGGTCGGGGGAGAGGGGGGTCGGGGGAGAGGGGGGACGGGGGAAAAGGGGAGGGGGGCCGCGGAAATGGAACGGAGGGATAACCGGGGAGGGGAACGGCTCCTCACAGGCAAGGCGCCCCTGGCTGTTCCACAGCTGGGCACCAGCTGAGGTCCTTTTCAGAATTCTCAAAAGTAACACCAACATAGCTGAGGTCCTAATAAACACTCCCTATACCCCTGAATTCAATTTCGAGAAAATTTATAGACATGTTTTGGAATCGACTTTTCAGCCCCGCCATGCCCCTTCCGTCCCTCCCTTCCCCTTCCCCCCATGCGTGCAGCAAGCCAGCAGTGGTGATGATTGTGGGAGTGAATGGCGGCGGCAAGACCACCACCATTGGTCAGCCTTGCACCCCCTCCCTTTCTTCCCTCTCTCCTCCCTCCCTCCCTGCCTCTCTCCCTCCTTCCTTCCTGCCACTTGCGCCCGTCACGTTTTCTCTGACTTCTTTGGCATTTCATTGCTCTCAGCATGTGTTCTTTTCTTTGCTCCGAGTACCTTGCCTCTTCTGTGTTGGTTACACCATCTCCCATCTCCCATGCTCCATGCCCCATGCCCCGTCTCCCATCTCACATGCCTCATGTCCCAAGTCACATCTCCTATTTCCCATGCCCTGTCTTCCACGCCTCCCTCATCCTTCTCTCTCTTTCCTATCCATCAGGCAAGCTGTCTCACCGGTTCAACGGCGAGGGAGCTAAGGTAATGTGCTGTGGGAAATCTGGGTAACACGAATGGGCGTCAGAGTATCACGCATCGACGTGATGATAACACAAAAGGGATGTGCGTTGTAGTAACACACTTGCGGGTTGCAGCATTGTGCGTGGTAACAGGGTAACGCTACCCTTCTCTTCCACTCCCCTGCCTCTTTCTCCCCACCCTCCCATCCTCTCTTCTCCCCGCCCCTCTCCCATGCGTTCCTAATTTTTCAGCTCAGATCTCGCCCATCCTCCCCTCCATCCGCACCCCCGTCTCCATAGGTGCTTCTACCAGGTGGCAACACGACACGTCCAGGGCCCAGCAGTTAACGAACAATATGTGGAGGGCAGGCAGTGGGAGACACACAATATGTTTTTGAGGCGCCTAAACAATAGACAACCCCTTCTCCCGTAGGTGCTTCTACCAGGCACGACCCGTCCAGGGCCCAGCAGTTAACGAACAATATGTTGAGGACAGGCAGTGGGAGACACACAATGTGTTGATTGAGGCGTTTCAAAAGCTATTCCTGCCACCCCTTCCCCCACGCCCCTTCGCCCACTCCCTTCCCCAGGTGCTGCTGGCAGCAGGAGGGAGACACGTTCAGGGCGGGAGCGAGCGAGCAGCTTTTTTAACTTTAAACACCCTTTCGTGTTCCCCTACATCTCTCCTCCCCCCCTCGCGCCCTCCCCCTCCCCACCTTCCCCTCCCCCCACAGGTGCTGCTAGCAGCGGGAGACACGTTCAGGGCGGCAGCGAGCGAGCAGCTGGAGGTGTGGGCGGAAAGGACAGGTGCAGCCATCCACACGGCAGAGGGAGACAAGGCCAGACCCGCCACGGGTGAGTGCCTGGCAGCACATACGTGAGTTTTTTCTTTCTTTCTTTCTTTCTTTCTTTCCCGGAAGTGACTCTCCAGAATAGCCTTTTTAGCAGCTGCAAGGGAGGGCATTGAACTGAGGCGCGTTGCGGGGAGAGGGTTTCACGGGTATGAGAGGAAGCAGAGGTTCCAGTGTTGAGTAGAAGCATGCAAGGAGAAGGGACCCCATCTGGCCTCCCAACCCTTGCACCCGCCCATATGTTCAACCCCCACCCATGCATCACATAACCCCCCCTACCCCGCTCCACCTTCAACCGCTTCCCCCCCCCTCCCCATGCAGTGCTGGCGAATGCGGTGCGCAAGGCAAGCAGCGAGGGGTTTGACATTCTCCTTGCTGACACCTCTGGCCGTGAGTCGTGGGAAAAGGGGGAAGTGGGGGCACAGCCGCACAGTGTGGACGGATACATGGGAGGGGGGCTCTTGGGGGGCTGAGGCACGGCACGGGGGTTTGAGGCATGGAAGGCAAGCAAGCAGTGAGGGCTTTGACGTTCTCCTTGCTGACACCTCTGGCCGTGAGTCCTGTGCACAGGGGGGAGGGATACACGGGAGGGGGGGTCTGGGGTGCTGAGACACGAGGGGTCAATGGATGGGAAGCAAGCAGTGAGGGCTTTGATATCCTCCCCATCTCACTGATATCCTCCTTTCTGGCACCACCCCCTACCAACCCCCACCACCATCTCACCACCGCCCACCGCATTGCACCGCAGGGCTGCACACCAATTTCAACCTCATGGAGGAGCTGAAAGCATGCAAGCGAGCTGTGGCCAAGACCCTGCCCGGCGCTCCCAATGTGAGTCGCTCCCTGCCACTGCTTGTACATTACCCACTCACTGCGTGGCTACAGGAGGTGCTGCTGGTACTGGACGGCACCACAGGGCTCAACATGCTGCCGCAGACCTTTATTCATGATGGTTTCGTTAGTGATGCATTCTTTCCTCCATGCATGCTGTTTGTGTGATCCCCACCCCACATGCTACAGGAGGTGCTGCTGGTGTTGGACGGCACCACAGGGCTCAACATGCTGCCACAGGCGCGAGAATTCAACCAGGTGAGTCTCCTCTATCCGCCTCTGCTCCCTCTTTCCTTTGCAATGCATGTCCCCCCTTACCCCCATTCCCTCTTCTCCTTGTAATGCCTGTCGCTCAATTGCATTGCACGTTTTCCCCTACCCTTCCCCTCTTATACGCATGTTACTTCCACCTCCCCTTCCTTATTTGTGCCAGGCTGTCGGGGTGACGGGCTTTGTTCTTACCAAGCTGGACGGCACGGCTCGGGGAGGCTGTGTGGTGAGTTGCCTTTGCCCTCACATTTTCTTTAATTATTTATTTGTTTACTTCTTTCGTTTATTTTCTCTCTCACCCCTGTATTGCACTTGTACTTGCTCCAGTCACTGTCTCAATACCATTACCCATTCGTGCTTTATCAGAGTCAATTTATCAGTACCCCGTCAACCAAAATCTGACTGATAGCTGGGGAAAGATGCTGACTTTCTGTAACATATAACCTGGTGTGCTGTACTGTGCAGGCGAGTGTGGTGGACGATCTGGGCATTCCAGTGAAGTTTGTGGGCGTGGGGGAGGGCGTGGAAGACCTTCAACCCTTCAATGCCGAAGCGTTTGTTGACGCTCTTTTTCCCTCGTAGCATTGCTGCCATCTCTTTGTTGCTGAAGCACCAGCCAATGTACCGGTAACAGTATCATAGTCTCCCAGATCGATCACAAAGAAAGGCAGACCCTCCCATCCCATGGCCATGGGTCTCTTCTCTTCTCTTGTAAGGGTCTAAATTTAGTATAGTGTTCCACCATGGTGGTAGTTCCATCAAGAGCCTCGTGTTTTGACACTATAAAAAAAACAGTTTTTTGGTGGAATTCAGATACCGGTAGCTTCCATGGGGCGGCATCATGGGTTGTTCTGACAATTAAGTACTACCATATCAGTGCATAGTGCAGCATAGTGCAAGCACCATGTGTCAGGAGGGGCGAAGCGAGTGGCATTGAAATGTCAACATTACTATCAAGAGTGCTTACAAGCTCTTCGTCAGATTTCTGTCAATTATCATCCAAAGCGCTCATTTCTTGCTGCAGCTGGGGTACATGGCTCAACACAATACATGCCAGTGCAATACTGTGTCAGATTTCCTCCAATTCTCATCCAGTTCCAATTCTCAATACCGATGCTCCGCTTGCCCCTCCACATCCACACCGCCACACCACACCCATTAGATATGGTACCATAAATCACCTAACCAGCTTGAGAAAGGGAATGCTGCCACAAGCTACCAGAAGCAACCCCCTTCAGGAGCTAAAAACTTCCTCCCAGCAGCACCTACCTCCGCCCAAACCTCCCGCCACCGCCACCTGCTGCCCCCCCTCGCGCGTTGTGAGAGAAGGCAAACCTGGGCTTCGCTTTGCCGCCCTTCACTGCGCCCGGGTCCACCACCTGGATTGTGCGCTGCTTCTTGGCTGGAAGGAGGATGTAGAGAGGGAAGGAAACGGGGAGGGGTGTTCTTCAGAAGATGGGTGTGTCTGGAGTGCCTATAAGCGCGCCCCTTCACTGCCCCCGGGTCCACCACCTGGATTGTGCGCTGCTTCTTGGCTGCAGGGAGGATGGGAGGAGGAGAGAAAGAGGGGGCAGGGGGGGGGGGTGTTTCAGAGGAAGGGTGTGGCTGGAGTGCGCCCCTTCACTGCGCCCCGAGTGCACCACCTGGATGGTGCGTTGCTTCTTGGCTGCACGGCGGATTGGAGGAGGAGAAGGCCCTGAATTTGAGTCGACTCAAAACTGTTTCCGAGTCGACTAAAAAACTTCTTGGCTCCACGACGGATTGGAGGAGGAGAGGGCCCTAATTTTACCTTATGAAACACTCCTTGCTTTGCTCAACCAACGCAGGCTCTGGGTTGAGGGGTTTGGCATCTCACCGTCCTGAATCCCTTGGTACCGCTCGTGCAGCTTCCTCTTGGCCAACTCCAGGCGCTCCTTCTCTGATCCTCCGCCCCCTGCTGCAAACTGCAGGGAGATGAATGGCACAGCGCGGCAGGGAGGGGCAAAGGGGGAGAGGGCAAGTGCATGCACGTGTGAGGAAGTGGGAGTCAACACGGGCATCTCCAGGCGCTCCTTCTCTGTTCCTCCGCCCCCTGCTGCAAACTGGTGAAGGAGGGAGACGAATGGCACAGCGCGGCAGGGAGGGGCAAAGCGGGTAAGGGCATGTGCATGCGCGTGTGAGGAAGTGGGAGTCAACAGCCAACTCCAGGCGCTCCTTCTCTGTTCCTCCGCCCCCTGCTGCAAACTGGTAAAGGAGGGAGCGAAAGGCGCGACATAGGAGCGCAAAGGAGGGAGGGGAAGGCGTGAGAATGGGCAGAAAGAGAAGGGAAGGCAAGTGCATGCACGTGTGAGGGGTGAGGAAGTGGGGCAGCGTTGCTCGTTTGGAGTAAGTGCCATCTCAATCTGCCCGTTGCTTATCACACACACCCACTCCAAGCAGCACAGCAGAGTTGCTGCCTGCCGTGGTGTGGAGAGGAAAACGTGACAGGATATTTTGATTTCCAGTGTGAACGACTATCCAGTTCTGAACCAGGATACTTTGACAGAAAGTTTTTTTTTTCTAAGCTGCTAAACAGAAGGTTAAGAACACTCTCCTCATGCTCGCAATGCACAAAGTGAATGCTATGCTAGCAGGTACAGCGTACCTCTTGAGAATTCTCAGAAGTAAACTCAACAAAGTGAGTGCTATGCTAGCAGGTACAGCGTACCTCCATTGAATGATGCATGTCCAGGTACAGCGTACCTCGGATCTCATGTTGGGCGGCGGGGTGAGGCTCCTGCCGTACGAGTTTCATGGCGACCCAAAACCTGTCTGAAAGTCCAGGTACAGCGAACCTTGATTGAATGATGCATGTCCAGGTTCAGCGTACCTCGGATCTCATGTTGGGAGGAGGGGTGAGGCTCCTGCCGTACGCAGGGGCAGTGGGTCGATACGGCGACACAGACCTTTCCCGTTCCCTCTCCCGCTCCCTCTCCCTCTCCTTAGCGCCTTGAAGCAAACGCCTCTGCAACGGCGACCCCTCTCCTCCTGCTCCTCCCCCTCGCCCTCCTCCTGCTGCTCTGCCCATCATCTGCCCAGCACCACCCTGCCTGTCCATGCTTGAAACGCCAGCAGCAGCAAGCCCGGATACCACATTCCGTTTCTTCTCCCTCTCCCTCTCCCTCTCCCCCCTGTCCTTCAGCTTATCCCGCGCCCTTTCCTTCTGCATACTCGCCCCCTTGCTCCCGCCAAACCCATCGCTCCCAACCATCTCCTCCTCCCCTCTCTTTTCCCTCCTCTCCTTGATCTTGTTGCTTAGTGCGCCAGCACTGCTGTTGCCAGCCCGACCCTGGGCCTCTTGTGCTTCCTGCCTGTCCCCTGTATAGCGTGGCTTGTTCTTGTTATAAGCAGGGTTGCTGTTGTAAGCAGGGGCTCCGTTATAAGCAGGTGGGGACGAAGCTACATCGTCATGGAGTGGTGGAGCGCGGTGGTCGTCTGGGCTTCCATCGGATCTGGCTGTAAGGGGTATAAAGGAACACCACATGGAGCTGAGCTTGTCAATACTGATTTTTTAGGCGACTTTTTTAGGCCCATTTTTTAGGCGCCTTTTTTAGGCGCCTTTGTTAGGCCCCTTTTTTAGCCGCCATATTTAGGCCCCTTTCTTAGCCGCCATATTTCGGCTCCTTGATTAGCAGCCTTTTTAAGGCCCTTTTACTGAGGTGCCTAAAACATCGAACACCACATGGAGCTGAGCTTGTCAATACTGAAGAAAAAACGATAAACCAACAAAACGTTTAGTGTCCAAGAAAAACAGCAATAGCACGGGGGGAGGGAAGGGAGCGAGGGGAGGGAAGGGAGCAAGGAGAGGGAAGGGGGCAAGGAGAGGGAAGGGGGCAAGGAGAAGGAAGGGGGCAAGGAGAAGGAAGGGGGCAAGGAGAAGGAAGGGGGCAAGGAGAAGGAAGGGGGCAAGGAGAAGGAAGGGGGCAAGGAGAAGGAAGGGGGCAAGGAGAAGGAAGGGGGCAAGGAGAAGGAAGGGGGCAAGGAGAAGGAAGGGGGCAAGGAGAAGGAAGGGGGCAAGGAGAAGGAAGGGGGCAAGGAGAAGGAAGGGGGCAAGGAGAAGGAAGGGGGCAAGGAGAAGGAAGGGGGCAAGGAGAAGGAAGGGGGCAAGGAGAAGGAAGGGGGCAAGGAGAAGGAAGGGGGCAAGGAGAAGGAAGGGGGCAAGGAGAAGGAAGGGGGCAAGGAGGAGAGGACTCACATGAGCCGCTGTCAAGGCCGAGACCAAAGTCACGAAATAACTGCGCGGGGTAAGGCATGGGGCATGGGGTAAGGCATGGGGCATGGGGTAAGGCATGGGGCATGGGGTAAGGCATGGGGCGTGGGGTAATGCATGGGGCATGGGGTAAGGCATGGGGCTTGGGGTAAGGCATGGCACAGGGCGTATTGGCACCCATGGATATGATTTTCACTGGATTGCTGACGAAAACAGCAGACAACCAACCACAAGCCACAACACTTGTTACAGTCACGCTCACCTCACTGGCCCCCATGGCGATGCTCCTCCCCTGCAGCAGGGCACTCTCGTCTAGAGGGGGCGATGGCAGGCCGGACGACACGTCCTCTGGTAGACCGGCAGTGGAGCCTGGGAGAGGGAGCGGGGGAGAGGGAGAGCAACGAGAGGGGTTGACTGCAGGCGAGGGCAGAGGCGCAGGGGAGCAGGGGAGGCAGCATGAGGGGTCGATGGCAGGCCCGATGACACGTCCTCTGGTAGCCCTGCTGTGGTGTGGACCCTGGGGATGGGAGGGAACGTGGGAGAGCAGTGACGGCGGGAGGGCAGGGGAGCAGGGGGGCACGAAGGGGAGATGGCAGGCCTGATGACGCGTCTTCTGGCGGGCCTGCTGTGGAGCCTGAGGGATGGCAGGGAGAGAGGCGGAGAGACGAGAGCAGCGATGGCAGAAGGGGAGAAAAGCAAAGGAGCAGGTGAGGCAGCAAGAGGGGGAGACGGCAGGCCCGATGACACATCCTCTGGTAGCCCTGCTGTGGACCCTGGGAGACGGGAGGGAGCAGGGAGGGTGGAAGGAGAGGAAGGAGGAAGTGAGGGAGCTAGCGGGGGAATGAGGCAGAGAGATAGGGGGGAGATAGAGGGTGGGAGTGACACAGAGAGCGGCAGAGAGCAAGGGAGGGAGCGAGCAGTGATTCAGAGAGGGAGGGAGCGAGGAAGAGAGAAGGGAAGAGAGGACGGAAGCAGGGAACTCACGGGCTACGGCTGCTGCGCTCTTGCGGCACTCCTTCACGAGATCCTTCCATGCACTGCGGCGAGGAGTGGGATGATGGGAAAGGCAAATGTTTGGAAAGCAGTGAAAGAAGACGTATATTTCCTTTTGTTGACGCAACAAACACCTGCTGCGCTCTTGCGGCACTCCTTCACGAGGTCCTTCCATGCACTGCGGCGAGGGGTGGGATGATGGGGGGGAGGGAGGCAGTGAGACAGCGGCTCATTATGGTCCGTAGTGTGTGTGTGGTATCCAGGATATGGGACACAGGCGAGTGGCGACATCACACGGATCACTTGTAACGGCATTCATTAAACAGGTGCCCATCACACACGTGCCCATCACACACGTGCCCATCACACACGTGCCCATCACACACGTGCCCATCACACACGTGCCCATCACACACGTGCCCATCTCGCACTCACCCGATGAGCTGCCTTGTGATGGCCACTCACCCGATGAGCTGCCTTGTGATGGCCACTCACCCGATGAGCTGCCTTGTGATGGCCACTCACCCGATGAGCTGCCTTGTGATGGCCACTCACCCGATGAGCTGCCTTGTGATGGCCACTCACCCGATGAGCTGCCTTGTGATGGCCACTCACCCGATGAGCTGCCTTGTGATGGCCACTCACCCGATGAGCTGCCTTGTGATGGCCACTCACCCGATGAGCTGCCTTGTGATGGCGCGCACTTTCTCCGATGGGTGGTTGCGGAACGAGTTCACCCTCTTGCCCACCTCCGTCACCTGATGATGCACACATGCACACATGCACACATGCACACATGCACACATGCACACATGCACACATGCACACATGCACACATGCACACATGCACACATGCACACATGCACACATGCACACATGCACACATGCACACATGCACACATGCACACATGCACACATGCACACATGCACACATGCACACATGCACACATGCACACATGCACACATGCACACATGCACACATGCACACATCCACACATCCACACATGCACACATCCACGCACCCACACATGCACACATCCACGCACCCACACATGCACACATCCACGCACCCACACATCCACACATCCACACATCCACACATCCACACATCCACGCACCCACACGCCCAGGCAGCAAGGCAGCAAGGGATCACAAATGAAAAGAACGAAACCACCTACCACCCTCCCCCGCTGACAACCTGCTGCCAATGCTCCAGCCAGCCCCCTCACACTGCATCCCCCTCACACATTGCAGCCCCCTCACACTGCATCCCCCTCACACTGCATCCCCCTCACACTGCATCCCCCTCACACTGCATCCCCCTCACACTGCATCCCTCTCACACCGCGGCACCCCACCCCTCACCCGCAGAGCTTCGAGGGTCATGGGCATGTGCAGTAGAGACTCTAAATGCCGCACCAAGTAGTCATTGTCCTGCCAGCCATGGGGGGAAGAGAGTGATGCAGGGTGAAGAGGAGGGGGGAATGACGATGCCAGGGCAAGGGCGCGGGAGGGGTGACAGGAGACTTCAGGGCCCAGGGTGCAGGAGGTGGGCAAGGTGGGAGCGTTGCGGGGGGGAGGTGTGGGGGAAGGGAGGGAGGGGAACGAGGGGGGAAGCTTGAACAGGGATGAACCTTGAACAGGAGGGGGAAAGCTTGGGCACTTGTTACTCGTTATCCTGCATAGTGGCAGAACAACAAGGGCACTTACCAGTCTGGACGGTCTAAGGAGGTCTTTAATCTCCTCAATCCGCTCCACCAGCCGATCCTCCTCCTGCAGCTGCTCTTCCAACACTGCTGCAGTCGCATCACCCTCCTCCTCCTCGTCCTCCCATGTTCTTCCCTCCATATCCCTCCCCACTCCTCGATCCACTCCTCTTCCCTCCCCTCCTTTTAGTCTCTCCGTCCCGTTCCCTCTCTCCCCGCCTCTGCCCCTACCACCGGACCCAGCACCAGCATGACCACCGTGTCTCCCACTTCGATGATCCAACCCATCAATGCCGTCGTTTTCTTTCGTAACATCAATGTCAACATCCAAACCCTCTTCCTCCTCTTCCTCATCTTCCTCCTCCTCTGAATCCTCGTCATCCGAAGCGTCGCTTTCACCAAGCACAAACACGCACCCGCGCCGCTTCGTTCGCTTCTCCTCCTTCGCCTCCTCCCTTTCCTCCTCCTCCTCCTTCTCCTCCTCCTCTACCTCCGCCTTCGTCGCATCGCCACGGAAGTCCCTCTCATCATCCACACCCTCGGCAGCATCGTCTGACGGCCGAACATCACCTGACGGCCGAACATCGCCTAACGGCCGTCCATCACCTGACGGTCGTCCATCGTCTGACGGCCGTCTACTCTTCTCGTCACTGCCGCGTCCTTCCGGTCGATCTCGCTCGCGCCGGTCGCCGTCTCCCTGTTCGCGCCGCTCCCCCACTCCCCGTTTCTCATCCTCGTACCCACCCCCATCACCATACCCATCTCGTCTCCTTTCCCTCACATCGCTCCCATCTCCGCCTTCGTTCCGCCTTTCATCGTTCCCCAACGCGTTTCTGACCGTCGGATTCAGCCCATCGCTCGCCGCATCCTCTCTCGGAGCGCCTTCGTCACGTGCGTGACTTGCCGTCGTCGCGTGTTGTCGCTCTGCGGCTCTCTCTGCGACTCCTGGTTCCTGTTCCGTCGCTCCCCGCTCCGTCGCCGCCCGTTCTGCGCTCCCCCGCGAAACGTGCGGGGGTGTTCCGTCTCGCACGTGTGACTGGCGACCGAAGGTGAACAGTTTCTCCGCGATGCCGTCGCGTCGCAGGCGTAATTGCGCGGGAAAATCAGAAGCGGCTACCCGGAGCGCCCTGTCAATGACCGTCCAGATGTCGGCTCCTGAGTGGGCGAAATACTTCCGCCATCGCACGTCATCCTCCATACGCTCAAGATGCAACCTGGTTACGTGTAACCCGGTAACCCGGTTGCGCGGGGCCCTCGCAGCACAAATTCGTCACGCTGGCAACCCAAATACGTGACCCAGTAATACGACGTCGAAATTCCGGCAAGCGTTAAACACTTCGTGTGGATTCACAGGGAGCCAGAGGCTTTTGCAATACTCCCAGGCTTTCGACCCAAGGGAACTGACCAGGGACGAGCAGACGATGCGAGTGCTGAGCAGACGATGCGAGTGCTGAGCAGACGATGCGAGTGCTGAGACCCTGAGCAAATACATACAACCCGGTGCCTGCAGCGGGTGGCACACGTCCGTAGCACAAGCCACTATGCAGATTGCTGAAGCGCAATGCAAATTCCTCCCGAGGATCGTGGTGTGCGGATACTATGCGACGGCAGTACGAGTCAGTGTACGACAGGACAAATTCCGTCGCCCACTCGCAATTCTCGGGACTCGCCGCGAGAGGGAGAATGCGCGGACAGCAGCAGCAGGAGGAGCAGCCACAGAGCAGTTGAGTAGAGAACCAAAACAGGCTGGAACTGAAAATCAAAATTTCCAGGCAAGCTGACGAGTCTTGGAAACTGGTGAGTGAAGTGCCTTGGGAATTGGCAGAGCCAAATGCCTTGGGAACTGCCAGCTTTCACAAGCTTGACGTTTGTGGGCCAGACCAGAGCAGCCGCTTCGGTTTGAGGGATGGGGTAGGTAAGGGAAGGGAGGGACACGGTTTGCGGTGGACTGTTTGTAGGCATGGTATGTATCTCTTCGCCGGAGCAACGTAGCCGCGGCGACGAAAAGTTGACGGAAAGAGAGAGACAACCACACCAGTTCAGTGGATATTCCTGCATGGCTGACAGATGCGGGGGCATGGCATTGGATGCGTTATGGGGGAAAAGAATGGGGTGTGCTGTTGATTGGCTGGGGTGGTCATGTTGTCATGAACGGACCCATGTGCCTGGGCATGGATGGAACTTTATGCTTGCCCGTGTGGTGCTGCTGCATGCCATCACTTATTGGTTCCTCAGTTCACGGTTGGACGAAAATACTTGCCGTTCAACCGTCAATTGGGAACAACGCGGGTATGAGTTGACAGCTTGGGATAGCCCAGTCAACGCCATCAAAACAGGCGAGAGGACGGACGAACGCGTTCAGCAAGGAAGCAATACGCCATTTAGAGTTCTCATGAGACTTGTTTTTTTTCACCAGTGTTAATATTAATCTTAAAAAGGTTACAACTCTGCTGGGTGTCATCATCTCACCAAGAACAGTAACCATTTTTCTTGCATGAAAGTTATTAAATATTTTCACGGTCAAAATTCTGCTGGTGAATTTAGGGGGATCTGGTCATTTTCCTGCAGATTTGTAAAATCTGGCTTATTAAATAATTAATAGTAGTATTTGATAATATACGGCGGATAATGAATATATAATTTTCAATCTAAAGCAGGGTCATTGAATCAAAGCAAGATGATGCTAAGCACGAGCAATCTTCATGGAGCTCTTCATATTTGTTTCATTCCAGCACGGGATGTTCAGAAGTTACGTGGTCCAGAGCGAGTCGTATCGAGTATGGCCTTGGCTGGTAAATGTTATTGTAAAGCATTACGAAGTCAATGGGACTCGTTGCGCACTTGATGGTCAAAAGCACAACCCTTATCAGCGATTGGCGTAGAGCTTCTGTGAGCCGTACAAGCTCAACCTGAGCTGCCGAACCAACTGTCAAGTCAAGCACTTATCCAACCATGAAGGAATAATGCGTGTGTCTCATTCCTCGGCATTCGATAGAAGAACGAGTCCGAGCCGGGCCACCTGGCTCGCGCCTCACCTTCTCCAGACCACGCAAAATTCAAATCCGCACATTCACGGGTGCACTTGCTTGCGGGGCGGTTCGAGTATCGCGGCTCGCATGCCACAGCACAAGCCCCTCGCGTGGATGCACGACCAAGGAATTACCTACCCTCGTCACGACCAGCAGCAGCACCCAAGCACAACCCTTGCAACATAAAAGGGCTCGTTATGTACGATTTCACTCAGAAAGTCCAAGGAATTCACTTAGTACCACTAACATCGAGGCACACCATGGCTCGCGCTAGTCGCTGTACGCTCGCTCTTCTCGTCGTCCTTGCTTTAGCCTACATTGCCAATGCAGCCGTTGCTCCCACGGCCACAGCCGGCCCCAAGTGCGCGAACGCGTTTCCTCAGAGGCCCCTGTGCAAGTTCGTGGACAGCTTGACCACGCGCGTCATCCCCACCCTCGATGGCACCAAACCGCTCACCATTGGCGCCTATCAGATTTACCAGGTAACTCTCTCCTGCGCCCATTAAAGAAAACTCGTTTTTTCCGTGTTATTCCCGAGATTTTGCGCTTTATATGACGTGAACGCACAATGCGCCCCGCCGGCTGACTGTGAGGTCTCCCTTCGACGCTGTCGTTCACGTGGCAGAAATTCCATCGCGATCTGCCGGCGACGAAGCAGTACGCGTACGGCACGAGTCAGAAGACGGCGTCGTACCCCGGCCCCACCATCGTGGCCAAGGTTGGCATCGACACGGCGGTGACGTGGGAGAACCACCTGCTCGACAACACGCACATGTTCACCGTCGATCCCACCATCATGATGGGCGTCAAGGTCCCCAAGAAGGGCATTCCCATCGGTAAGAGCGTGTCTCAGAATGGGTGAAAGCTCATTTTACGCCTCTGTCTAATGCCTTCCGTAAGAACCATTTCGCGCCAATGTCTATGCGCACTCAACGGTACCCTCATCGCGTCACGCGCATGCAATAGTACTCCGTGCGCGCATCCGGACTGACTCCACATTCTCGTCCCCAATTGCCTGCAGTTGTGCATCGCCACGGCGGCTCCCAGCAGAGCTACTACGACGGCCACCCTCTCGCGTGGTTCTCGCAGTACGGCGAGAAAGGGCCCACCTTCTACAACAGCACGTACAAGTACGTAAACGACGAGGCGTCGACGGTGTGGTACCACGACCACATGGCGGGCATGACGCGGCTGAACGTGGCGGCGGGCATGGCGGGGCTGTACATCATCACGGACCCCAAGGTCGAGTCCAAGTACACCTGGCTGCCGCCCGCCTCCCGCACCGTCCCGCTCGCCATTGCGGATCGCCTCTTCTTCGCCAACGGGTCGGTCAACTACCCGAACGTGGGCATCGTGCCGAACGTGCATCCCAACTGGATTCCCGAGTACATTGGCGACACCAACATGGTCAACGGCGTGGTTTGGCCGTACCTCAAGGTCCGGCCTGCGGTGTACCGGTTCAAGATGCTGGGCGCGTCGAACGCGCGTTTCTACAATCTGCAGTTCATTTGCGCGCAGCGCGGCGACTACCCCAACTTCGTGCCGCCGCTCAAGGGCCAGGTTCTCGACATCGTCACCGTAAGTGATCGTAAGGCAGTTCACATTGCAGCCTCTTTTCTTATGCAAGAACGCGCCTTCGCGTCAGCCACGTCCTAATACGATCTCTTTTGACGCGCAGATCGCCACCGACGGCGGCTACGTGGCAAAGCCTGTGACCTCCAAGTCGGTGCTGCTCATTCCGGGCTCGCGTCTGGACGTGCTGGTTGACTTCTCGAGCCTGCCCGCCACCTGCAAGGACGTGATTCTCCAGAACACCGCGCCCGCGCCTTTCCCCGCTGGTGTGACGGCTGACCGCGACACCGGACTTGTCATGCGCTTCGTCATCACCAACAAAAAGCGCATCCCCGCCGCAAAAGTCCCCAGCACCATCTCGGTACGCGCGTACACCCACGCAGCCCAGTCCTTCCCGCTGGTTTGCACTCATTGCCTGTTACGGCATTTCATGAATTCCAAGTCTTCGTCATGCTTTCCTTCCCACATTCCCGCATTGCAGTACCTTCCCCCGATCGACTACAAGAACATCCAGAAGGTTCGGTGGCACAGCCTGATCGAGAAGATGGACCCCAAGACGAACCTGCCCATCGAGATCACCATCGACAACCTCGGCTTCATGGATCCCGTCACCGACTACCCCAAGCAGGTCAGTGCAATCATAGAAACACAATGCATCACCTACCTCTAGTTTTTCTACGAGTTGTTCCACTCTTTGAATAATTCGACGCGCTTTGTAGCTCGTCATTGACCCTGCCCTCGCGTTGTCCCTTTTCCCCTCTCCCTTTTCTCGCAGGGCACGAACGAGCTGTGGCACATCATCAACCTGTCGGCCGACGCGCACCCCTTCCACATTCACCTCGTCGACCACCGCCCCATCTCCCGTCGCCCATTCGACGTCGCGGCGTTCCAGGCGGGCAAGTGCGCGTTCCGCGGCAAGAAGCTCCCGCGCTGCTGGACGGGCCCGCGGGTTAAGGTCGACCCGACTGAGGACGCATGGAAGGACACCACGGCTGCGTACCCCGGTCAGGTGCTGACGCTCTGGTTCGGGTGGAAGGACAACAACGGCAAGCCTCTGAAGTTTGATGCGAGCGTTGGTCCCGGCTACGTCTACCATTGCCACATGCTGGACCACGAGGACAACGACATGATGAGGCCGTTCAAGGTGATCAAGTAGGCGGCAAGGAGAATGCTCTGTAGATTAACTCACTGACGAGTTGCAACTTCAGGGCTTTAGATCAGTTATGGGTAGTTGAATTAGAATAGGTGATGTACCCCGCTGTAGGTTAGGTTAGAGATGTTAGGTTGAAATTCCATGGTGATCGAAGGTGTAGGGAAATGAGCTGCCATTCTGCCTGCCTATTGTGTTTTCTAGATGGACGATGTTTCCGCTTTGTGGGGAGGACCAAGCAAGGGGCTAGTTGCTGGGTGCATTTGTGTGGGTTGGGCCAGTTATGCACGAATGGCAAGAATGCGCGACCGTGGGAGCTTGTTTCCTCTGTACAACTTGCCTTCGGGATGTACCCCGCTGTAGTGCGTCACGATAAGGAAAAATCTATGCGTAATGGGAAACATTGTACTAGTGCGTCACATGTATCTAGGAATAGTGGATATTCAATATTGGCAGATATTGCTTCTAAGTGATAAAATAATAGTGTGGGTATTTATTGAAGTTTAATGTTGGTAGCATAGTTAGATTGTATGACACACTTTGAAAACCGTTTTTCCCTTTTCTTAGTTCTACGTTAGTGTTGGCAATATCAACACTAATGCCTGATACAACAACGGAGTCCAGGGACGCAGGCGAGGCAAAAAGGCGGGAACAGCCTCGGCCTGGTCGCAGAGCTGAACAACAACGCTGCACCTCTGCTCCAACTGTTTTCCTCCCTTGGGAATTTCGACCGACCAGAATCCAGATTCGGTCTTGGGAGACATTTTCGTAATTTTCTTCTGATTTCCAGTTTCCAGTTTCCAGAATCGGTGAGGACCTTAGGTGACCGATCCAGCCGTTTGAGCCTTTTCGTGTACTTAATTTTCCTGGCGTAGATCTACGTGGATTCGTGTGCTGCTGTACCAGTCTGCTTTCGGTTTAGCCTGAGCTAGTGCAATCCAAGATGGCAGATTTCGTGGATGAGCCTCGCGTGGTGCAATCTGAGAACCACGGATGGCAGAAGGTGACCAATGTTAAGAAGCAGCGTCGCCAGGAGCAGAAAGAATCAAAGAAGCCGTCAACTGCGGGGAAGTCTGCAGGTGGAAAAGGGTCGATCGGCCAATCCGTGTTTTCGTCGCTGGAGGATGAATCGAAGCAGAGGAGAGCGAGGATCGAAGCTCGTGCAGCGGCTGCTGAAGCAGCCGAGCGGGAAGCGGAGCGTGCAGAGTATGATGCTGACGATGATGATGATGATGACGAGGAGAGGGAAGCCAAGGCTCCAGCAGCAGCAGAGCCTAAGAAGCCCAAGAAACCTAAGAAGCCCAAAGTTACCGTTCTGGAGGCCGCGACAGCGATTAAAGTGGACGAATTGTCCGCGTTCCTTATCGAGATCTCGGTGCGGTCCGACATTCCTCACCCATTTCAGTGGCTGACGTCACATTATTTCTCTGAATTTCTTAGATTTGGAGACATTAGGCAGGATATGCTCGAATTCATCGCGTTGCAGAAGTGTGTTCACAATATCTACTCGTTCGCAGATCGGATATTTTTTTCACCGGTGCTCATTGGCTGTCTCTGTTACTCTTTCTGTCTATCAACACTTTTTTTACTCTTTGCATCTTTTCAGGATTCTTTCGCAGGCATGCCTGATGTGCAGCTGATGCGTTGTGCGGATTTCTTCGCACGAGCCTTCAGCGCAGTGCTGCCGTCACAGCTCAACCTCCCCAAGATCATCCGAGATTCCAGCCTGGCCAAAGCCCTTGACGTGAGTCGATCTTGAGAATGCTCGAATGTTGCAGTCACTTATGAGAATTCTCACAAGATCATCCGAGATTCGAGCTTGGCCAAAGCGCTTGACGTGAGTCGATCTTGAGAATGCTCGAATGTTGGAGTCACTTTTGAGAATTATCACAAGATCATCCGGAATTCCAGCCTGGCCAAAGCGCTTGACGTGAGTCTTTTCACTAGATCCCTCTGTTTCACGCAAATCCGACTACGCAGATCCGATCAGTGCCTGTTTCGTTTTCGCATGAAGTCGAATAAGGCCGCGTTGAAATGGCTCCACCTCCAATGTCTGCACTTTCTGTTCCCTGGAGTTACCTTGGAATGACATTCCAGAGGAGGTTCGCACAACCGCCTCTGAATGGCTGGCGGAGCGGCCTGCCGACGCGCTGGCGAAGTTTCTGGTTACCCTAGTGCGATCTGCGCTGGAGGATGTGCTGCCAGTCGGCAAGGTGGCCAAGGGGACTGCCGCACAGCCGCTGACCCCGCCCAAGGCCAAGGTGCGAAACCTACGGCAGGTTCTTATCTTCTCCCCGTTCCTAAGGATTGTAGTCAGAGTGTGCCTGGGAAACACGAAGTAAGTCAGTCATGGGTTTATCCTCGGGAATATGCGAATTCGGCCACAGTAGAAACACCAGAAAGTGGAAGACTTGCCTATTGAGAACCACGCGTTTCTGATTTTACCAAAGAAAGAAGTCACGAAGAACCAAACCGTTCATGCACTTGGGCTGAAACCCCTGCAGGTGGGTATGCTGGTGCTGCTGGTGCTGCTGCTGAGGCGACGACCTGACGTGATGCTACAGGCGGCGGACTCCATCCGCACGGACCCTGGCTGCCTCGGCCAGGACAGGCTGCCCGTGCTCGCCTGGATGTACGGCCAGGTGTGGTCTCCCTCCCTTCCGTCCTCGCTGACTGCTTTCCTTCCTGCCCCCCGTCGTTCGCTCTACCCATGGTGCTGGTCGGGTGCAATGGATGTTGTCAATCCAGCTATGTGACGTATGTGATCTATCATCCATATTCCACTCAACTCCCAACTCCCCCCACCTCCCAAACTCCTCCCACCTCCCAAACCCCAACCTCTGCTGTATTGCCACGTGGCTGCCACGTGGCTGCCAGGTGGCAGTGGTGGATCTGGTATCGGGCATGGCGCTGCTGGTCAGCAATCTCATGCCCTTCACATCGGGCAAGCAGGGCTCGCCTGTGGGCCGTGACGTCACTCTCACCTATTTCCAAACGTGAGTGAATCTCCGTTGTTAGGTCCCTCTTTTTGCCCTTTTGAGTCGACTCAAAAGTCATCGGGCAAGCACGGCTCGCCTGTGGGCCGCGACGTCACTTTCACCTACTTTCACCTTTCACTTTCGCCGTGAGTATGTTTTCGTTGATAGGTTCCTTGCTTTGGCCTTCATCCCAACATTTTTCCCTTTGTTGACCAACCGTAACCACCATATTAGCGCCTACACTAAAGCGACAACTCACAATGATGAGCCTGTGAGTTCATATGCCCAGGCTACATCTCACAGGTCCCTTGTGATGAAAATCACTTCCCCATCGTCCCTTTCACCGAGGCGCATAGTTCTCGTCTTCCATTTTCCTACCCCTCCCCGTCTCCTTTCCCCTCCCTTACCCCACTTCCCACCTCCCAGCGTGCTGCTGCGGGGCAACGAGCGCAAGGCCCGCGCGGTGCTGTTAAACGGGGCGTTTCGCAAGGGCGAGCGGCTGGTGCCTTACTCCACGCTCGACCAGTTCCTGCGCCTCGCCTTCCCCCCCGCCTCCGCTCGCACCAAGGCCACCGACCGCTTCACCGCTCTGTATCCCCTGCTCAAGGATATCACGCTCGCAGGCTCGGGCCGAACCAAGTCCACCAAGGCTGTCGCCACAATGCTGCTTCCGCTGATGTTCCGAGCCGCAGGGGAAGGTACGGATGTGGTTGCATGCAAAGGGATGGGTGCATGTGTGGGTATGGGTGCATGTGTGGATATGGGTGCATGTGAAGGTATGGTTGCATGTGAAGGTATGGGTGCATGTGAAGGTATGGGTGCATGTGAAGGTATGGGTGCATGGGTCCGTGTTTTAAACTGTTTAGAAGCTGGATGAGAATGCTGGACAGTACATGCATCTCGGTACAATATGAGCTCTTATTGTTTCCCTTTCGACTGTGCATCGCCTTCCATCTGTGCTTGTTCTGATCTTCCCACTGTTGTGCCTCTTGCTTCCCTGTCCTGCCCGCCACCCACTCTGCCCACCGCCCTCTCTTCATCCAGAGCCGGAAGCGCTCGCGCAGGAGGCCAGCAGCCTGTTTGTGTGGTGCTTGGCAGAAAACCCCGACTGCTACCTGCAATGGGTGAGCGCCCCTGTCTATTTCTGAAACGCCTCAATCACTTCCACCGTTCAACTTCCTTTCAGTCGTCTCAAAAGACGCCTCGGAGTGTGTAGCGCTGCAAAATGTCTCGTTCTGTCAGTGTCTCGTTGCCATCTCGCTCCCATCTGGACTTCTGTACCATCGCTTTTTTCTCCTATCTCTACGCTCGAGTCTAGAGGTATGCAGTCTCCACGCAACTGCAGCTCGGATTGCACATGGCTTGCCACTTCTTGGCACAAGCCATGTTGGTCGCACACATGGCTTGGGCCTGACCGTGTGTGTTGAGCGTGGGTGTTGCAGGAGCGGCATCATGCGGAGGACCATGCCACGAGCACGCTTGTGCTCACCTCCGTGCTGCGCTCATGGCCCACCGTCAAGACCCAGCTCGCTCCCTTTGACCCTCTGCGCAAGTTCCTTGCCTCCATCCGCAAGAAGGTGCGTGCCTTTCTGTGGCCAAGCGTGCTGCTCGCTGTGCAGTGTGTGTGCTGCGTGCTGCATCCTGTACTGTGCTGCGCTCATGGCCCACCGTCAAGACCCAGCTCGCTCCCTTTGACCCGCTGCGCAAGTTCCTTGCCGCCATCCGCAAGAAGTTGCGTGCTGCTTGCTGTGCACTGTGCATGCTTGCCATTCTCCCCTGCTCCCGTGCCCCCGTGCCCCTGTGCTCCCATGCTCACATGTTCATGCCCTCATGCTCCCATGGTCCTATGCTTTCAACAATTCTCTTATGCTCATTTCCCCAACACGCTCTTGCTCCACACTCTCGTTTCAAACCTCTTCTTCTCCAACCCCTCCTCGTCCCATTCCCCAGCTTCCCATCTGCCTTCCCCGCTCCTTCTCAATCAGCGTGGAAAAAAACACACCTTAAGCACTGACACAGTCTTGCCGCATTCTCACTCCACACTCGTCCCATATGTGCTTCCCTCTTCCCTGGCTGTGCAGCACATTGCGGCATTGGAGGAGTTGGATGAGGGCCAAATAGCGCGGAAAAAGGACATTCAAAGCGCCGACGCAGCAGCCAGGAAGCTGCAAGGGAAGGTGGCTGCAGGGGGGAGCTGTGTGGTGGTGTCGGCTGCTCTGGTGGCCGTGGCAGCAGCAGCAGCGTATGCGGCCTACAACTTGCCACCTCAAGGCGAGTTCAACCTGGATATTGATGCAGTGCTCGCACTGTTCAAGGGTAATTAACCCTGAGAATACATGTCAAGGAGATTCTGTGTGAAGGGTGAGGCGCAATTTCCTTCAGAGAGGAGGAAGAGATGCTATTTTTCAGCCTCAGTTACATGGTGATTTTTCCATGTTCTTGGATAGTGGTACTATGGTATGACACAGCCATACTGGAATGCCACACCATGCTTATTGAAGATACAGAGAATAGAATTTTTATGCGTTGTACTCTCAGTATGCCTTGTACTAATGCTTCTATCAAACATCCTGCGGAAGATAACTAAAGTCCACATGCACGTGGACTAGTAGCATCACGCACTAAAATGTGGCTGTACTGAGATGCCTATACTGATCTAGCATCCAGAATGAGCAACTGAAACACTATTTTCGCTCTAGTGGGCAGCGGTTGTACCTGTAACAGCGCTGCAGCTCCACTCAGAAGATCAGCAGCAGTTACCAAACGCTATTTAGAGTGACGGTGACCAGCGTGTTTCTTCCTGAACTGCTGGAACTTACAGTCAGCATCCAGAATACCCGACGTCTTGTAGTCCTGTTCTGTGCCATCAATAATGGCCCTCTCTTTCGCTGGGCCGTTCTTTCCCTGAGATTCACTGAATCTGGACAGGCGTGAAGCAGAGTCCTGGTACGTCTGCCCTATGATGCCGTGTACCTTGCGGGATGCATGCAGGCTGGCAATGCGAATGTTCAGCTGCAGGACAGGAGAGAAGGGGAGGTGGGGAAGGGGGGGGGGTGGCATGACGTAGAGAGTGATGATCAGACACTGGGAATTCGGGATGGGGGACGGAGTTGGATTTTTTTTTTCAAGAATACTCTCACAGGGGTATGAGGCAGAATACTGGACTGCTGTTAGAATAAATGTAGTTGCACACATGCACACATACGGTAATAGTAATGGCAAGCATTTCACTGTTCAACTTACATAGTTGGGACGGGACTTGCGTGAGAGGTCAGGAAGAATGTCAACCGTCAGATCCACCACCCCTCGCACACGCACCCGCACGCTTGCCTTGCGCCGCTCGATCCTGACCGTATGCCGAAGCAGATCGATGGTCAGGATGTCGTCTGGCAGCGATGCACTGTTCACCTCCAACTGACCCTGGACCCCCTCAGGTGACACGTCAGCAGCTGACTGTGCAGAAATGACGATGGTGATGCCTGAGCTGGTAACCACCCCGATTTCATCAATGTACTGTAGGAGAGGAGAACAAGAAGGGCAGAAAAGGGAAGACGGTACTTTCAGTTCAGATGGAGGAACCACACAGTCACACAAAGCAGAGGATAAAAACTATCTGAAACGCCACCAAAACTCATAGCATTGCCAAGTACCTTAGAGCTTTTACACTCACAGTGCTTCCATTCTTGGCGCCAGCAAACAGGTGCATGTTGATCTGAACCTTCCGATCGCTCACAAGGCAGTAGCTCGCACCATCCTGACCATGGAATTCAAACTTCTCGCTGTGCCGACCAATCAGGTGCGGGTCTCCCTTTGCTGACGTTTCAGCAACACGGGGCACACCAGGATTGCACTCGCTGTTGCCGCTGCTGTTGCTGCTGCCGTTGCTGCTGCTAGGGATTTGACCAGTGCTGTTGCAGTGGGAATTTGGAGAGGTTGGAGTGATGCTGCTGCCTGAGATTGTGCCATTACCGAGGGTCGCCTTGCTGTTGTTGCGTTTCGCCTTGCGCCTGTGGGAAGCGTGCTGGCGAGGCCGTACGCTTGAAATCGTGGTGACTGTATCAGGAGAGCACGGGGTGGGTTTGGGAGGCGCGGTGACAGGAGGGCAAGTGCAGTTGTGAACGGTTGAGTTCGGTTGAGAGGGAAGGAACGTGGGACTGGGAGCATGCGCGGAAGCGGGTTCGGTGAGGAGGGAAGTGGGTTCCGCGGTGGACTGGGCGACAGAGAGGAGTGTCGCCGTGACAGCTGCGACGAGCATGAGGTGTCGCATGAATCGCATGCTGCCGACCCGTGGACCCATCCCTCGCCCGCTCATGGCAGTGTAGCACCCCATTCTGCGACGCCTGCGATTTCTGCGATAATTGTGATTCCTAGGACGTCAGCGACGCTTTAATAATGCTTTTACAGCCTCAGCTTCGTTAAGAAACGCGAAGTTGTTAATCCCTGACACTGGGAGAAAGAAACGGAACCTTTTGACTAGAAAAGCCTCCAAGAGCAAAAGGTTCTGCTGGACACGCCAATCCCCTCCAAACCCGCCGTCGCCGCCGCTGCCGCCATGCTCGCGGCGCTGCCAGCGAGCTCAAGCATGTTCGCCGCCACGCTCGGAGCGCGGACGGCGGAGCGCCACGGAGGAGCGACGCGGAGGCGGACGGAGGAGCCACGCCTTCTCGCTCATCGCGAGGTGGTTTTTAGTTACTTAAGCGGCACTAGCGGAGGGCGGAGGCCGGAGGGCGAAGTCCCGCTCCGCTCGTTCATCGCGCGCGAGGATGCCGCCGTACGGACCTAGCCATGGACGCGAGCCGCGTCGCATGGACGGCTTTGAAGCGAGCCGCGGCAATATGACTGCCATTACATGGCTAACGAGCGAGACGAAACGACTGGTCTCCTAAATGCGCAGGGAAGGGACTAATTAGCACAGAGTACGCGTTAGCGCGGCGTGCTTGCGAAGATGAAGTGTGCAAAGCTCGATTACCAGGTCGCAGGGTCCGCGGAGTTGCGAGAAGAAAATTGCGCCCCGCATATGCTCCAGGCAGGCTCTCTAAGAAATCCTCGTTAGGAGTTAGTACCTCTATCTCGTACGGATAAATTTCCGGAAATGCTCCACCATACGGGAACGATATTCATCTCCCCTGTATATGCATTGCAAAAAGGTGACTTTTTCATACCTGTAATTGCTGATAATGGAATTGCTGAAGAAGAGGGTCAGCCCAGGCCAATGAATCTCTCTATCTGCGTCAAACAGTAGGGAAGCGGACTGGTTGGTGGCTCTGGTGTGGCAGCTGAAAATGCAGGCATTACATGTCTCTCTGATGTGGCTGGCAAGGTAGTCTTCCTGCCTGACGTGACATCGCAAGATGGCGTGGGCCTGTGGAGTGGGTGCTAATTGGGTAGCTTCCATGCTCTTGCTGTGTGTACTTAATAGCATGGCTGGCTACCTGCGGTTACTGCTCGTCACAACTGCAACAGTGTGAATTGGGGTTTTTGAATGTATCCCCTGACCTGACCATTCCACGAAATGTGAGCAACCCCTGTTTCTTGTCAGTCCCTGCCGTCCCCGCTTGCATGCGAGGGATTTCGACTGACTCGCAATCCTGGTTGTGGTGGGTGGCTCTGTATGTGCATGCATGCTGCATGCAGCACATGGCTGGCTCTGTCTCGCATTTCCACTTTCTCACCATCACCGTGCGTGTGCCTCTCATGCTCGCTCCACCTCACTCTTACTCAGCAGCGCTGTGAACGAGGGCTTGGCCTGTAGCCGCAAAGTCCTCCTCATGCCCACCCCACCCACCTACGTCTATCACAAACAGTCCCATCCCAGCACAGCACAGCGCAACACATCATACCTAAGCTAAGGCAAGCACACCTAACCAGTACCTAAGCACAGCTCAGGACAGCTAGGCACGGTTAAGCACAGAAGCGGTGCATGTTGAGCTCTGGCTGTCCACTGCCATGCAACACCACACAAGTCCTCTACCTCGCCCTGCACATTATCACAGCAGAGGACAACAATGGGACAGAGAGGAAAGGGGGGGAACGAGAGCAGGGAGACACTTACAAAGTAGCAAAAGAACACGTCGGCACACAAGTGAAGCTGACTAAAAGGAAGAATGTTGTGTATTGTGTTCATGTCAGACCGCCTTTGTGAAGCAATCAGTAAGTGAGAAGTGAGTGACAACTGTACGTTAGCCGGCCAAGCAATTCACCCCCTACAGAATCTCCCGTCACACCTACCATGAAGAGGTATGCAGCTCTGCTGTTGCTGGCGCTGCTTCCCCCCCAATTCTGGCAGGGACAGCAACGGGACATGGAGACCAGGGCACAATAACAATAGGACACGGAAAGAGGGGAGGACGAGAAACATGAGAAGGAATCAAAGGAGATGAGTAGGAGATCAAAGCACTGGACAAGAAGGCAAGCAATTGAACGAGCCCGCATTTGAGGGAACTGGGAAGCACTAGGGTAAGCTGTAATCACCATTTGATTGCTGCAGCCGCAACCACTGCAGTGGTCGTTGATGCTGCAACCACCCCTGCCACCACTGCAGCTGCTGCTGCTGCCACCACTGGTGCCCACGCTGCTGAATGCTGGATAGAAAGGCTTGTCCTTCTGGTGTCTGTAGAGAGAAGAGCAGAGAAGAGGAGAGGAGAGCAGAGAAGAAGAGAAGAGAGCAGAGAAGAGAGGAGAGGACAGACGAAGAGAGGACAGGAAATGATGAGTTTAAAAGGTGAGCAGAGCGGCATTAACATACGGCAACACAGCAGTTAAAACACACATGGAAATGTGGAAAAAAGGTAGACGGTACGGAATCGCACAAGAGAAAGCATGAGCATGTTGAGTGGAGAAGTGGAGAAGTGGTATACTAGCTGATCCACTCACAACTCCTTGTGTGCTTGCCATCATCCAGCCGTTGTTCTCTCAATGCTCCCTGAGCTCTGGTGATCCCTGAGTTGCTGCAGCCACTGCACCCTCGAGTGCTGGAGAGAGGGGAGGTAGAATGGCACGGACGAGGACACGAGGAGTGAGCAAGGAGAGGAGAGGCGGGTGGATGAGAGGTTGAGGATTTGAAAGAGCACCACTGGTAGGAGAGATGGCAGATGGCAGCTGGAGAAGCGAGTGAGACAAGAAGCAACGCATGGTGCACTCTCACTGCTGAGACAAGAAGCAACACTTGGCGATACCCCACGACTCACTGCACTGCCCCCTTGAAAGCAACCCCTGGCACGTACCACGATCCCTCCACCGCTCTGCCGCTCCCCAGGCGTGCTGCTCTCCAGGTTGCTCCATTGCTCCGGCTGCCCATGCTCGCAGGCCGTGAGGCACACACACACACGCACGAGGAGAGAGAGACACGCACACAGAAGAGACACACACACAGAAGCGGCACCAACAAGGGAGGCTTAAAAACAGCTGGAGGCGAGTGGCGGACGCAAAAGCAAGAGACACGACTCTTGCCTCTGCGCAGCGACGCTCTACGACTCACTACACTCCCCCCTGCAAGCACCCCCTGGCGCGTACCACTCTCTGTCCGCTGCTCTGCCACTCCTGCACCACGCCTTCCCTTCACGCCTGCTGCTCCAAGTTTCTCCAGGTTGCTCTGTTGCTCCGGCTGATTATGCTCGCAGGCCGTGAGGCACACACAAACACGCATGGGGAGGGAGACACGCACACAGAAGCGGCACCAACATCGGAGGGTTAGAAACAGCAGGAAGGGAGTGGCGGCGTCAAAAGCAAGAGACACGACGACTGTTGCCTCTGCGCGGCGACGCTCTACGACTCACTACCCTCCCCCCTGCAAGCACCCCCTGGCGCGTACCACACTCGATCCGCTCCTCTGCCACTCCTGCACCACGCCTTCCCTTCACGCCTGCTGCTCCAAGTTGCTCCAGGTTGCTCCGTTGCTCCGGCTGCCCATGCTCGCAGGCCGTGAGGCACACACACACACGCATGGGGAGGGAGACACGCACACAGAAGCGGCACCAACATCGGAGGGTTAGAAACAGCAGGAAGGGAGTGGCGGAGTCAAAAGCAAGAGACACGACGACTGTTGCCTCTGCGCGGCGACGCTCTACGACTCACTACCCTCCCCCCTGCAAGCACCCCCTGGCGCGTACCACACTCGATCCGCTCCTCTGCCACTCCTGCACCACGCCTTTCCTTCACGCCTGCTGCTCCAAGTTGCTCCAGGTTGCTCCGTTGCTCCGGCTGCCCATGCTCGCAGGCCGTGAGGCACACACACACACGCGTGGGGAGGGAGACACGCACACAGAAGCGGCACCAACATCGGAGGGTTAGAAACAGCAGGAAGGGAGTGGCGGCGTCAAAAGCAAGAGACAAGACGACTGTTGCCTCTGCGCGGCGACGCTCTACGACTCACTACCCTCCCCCCTGCAAGCACCCCCTGGCGCGTACCACACTCGATCCGCTCCTCTGCCACTCTGCTCCACGCCTTCCCTTCACGCCTGCTGCTCCAAGTTGCTCCAGCTTGCTCCGTTGCTCCGGCTGCCCATGCTCGCAGGCCGTAAGGCACACACACACACATGGGGAGAGAGACACGCACACACAGAAGCGGCACCAACAAGAAGGAGGGTTAGCAACAGCAGGAGGGGAGTGGTGGATTCAAAAGCAAGAGACAAGACGACTGTTGCCTCTGCGCGGCGACGCTCTACGACTCACTACACTCCCCCCTGCAAGCACCCCCTGGCGCGTACCACACTCTGTCCGCTGCTCTGCCACTCCTGCACCACGCCTTCCCTTCACGCCTGCTGCTCCAAGTTGCTCCAGGTTGCTCCGTTGCTCCGGCTGCCCATGCTCGCAGGGCGTGAGGCACACACACACACGCATGGGAAGAGAGACACGCACACAGAAGCAGCACCAACAAGAAAGGAGGGTTATTAACAGCAGGAGGGGAGTGGCGGATTCAAAAGCAAGAGACAAGACGACTCTTGCCTCTGCGCGGCGACGCTCTACGACTCACTACACTTCCCCCCCCACAGCCGTCGTGTTCGTACGTACCGTTGATCTTCCCCTGATTGTCAAACGCTTGCAGCCTGCGAACTCCGAACAACGCCTGGCGATTCTTCAAGTGCTTGGCGACTACAGCGACTGCGACGACCCAAAATCCGTTCCTCGGAGTTAGTCGCACACATGCAGAGAGGGGAAAGAGGAGGACAGGGGGAGAAGGAGGGGACAAGAGTTAGTGGGAAGGTAGATTCACGCACGACGCGAAGGAGGAGAGCGACGAGACTCTCTAGGCGTTCCTATCGTAGACGCCTACATGTTCCCCCTCACCAGCTTTCGCTGTTACGTACGTTGATCTTTCAAGGGATCCAAGGGAACGCCGGGGAAGTCGATGCGAACGCATGCGATCCTCATGGCGTACTCCCGCGAGCTGCGTCACGCTGCTTTTGACGGCCGCGTCCGTGGTGTTCGACGCATCGACGTTTCGTGGTGACCGTTTCGAACGCATCGAGAACAACGCTTGCGAGCTTCGAGCGACGTCAGGCGATTCTGGGAGCAACCTTCGTCCGACACTGCAGCGATGGCGACCGTCCGTGCTTCGAACACACACGCAGAGGGACATTCATACCGTTGAACATTCATTGATCGCGTGCGAAATTCAAGGGAACGCCGAGGAACTCGATGCGAACGCATGCGATCCTCATGCCGTACGGCCCAGAGCGATCTCCCGTGACATGCGTCACGCTGCTTGTGACGGCCGCGTCCAGTTGACGGTTTCGACGCATCGGAACGTCCACGTCTTGACGCTTGCGATATTCCATTCCGTTTCGTTTCTTGACGTCCACTGCCAGTTTCGACGGCTGATATTCCGTCTCTCGGACTGAAGGATGCTGCTCTCTGCACTAAGCCAAGACTCGCTGGAGCAACCGCTTCCGTCGCACGAGATTCTCATGATTCAAAAGAATATTTCCGGATAATATACATGCCGGCTGTTCGGTCATGTCGCCTTGTCGCCGCGTCACTTCACTCTAGAGTTTCTCAGGTCGCTGGAGGGCAAGCAGAGACAGTCAGGAACCTGAGAAGCGGTTCGCTGCTGTGAGACGCCGCCGTCGCAAAGATTTTCGCTAAGAGTCGCAACCGTCGTACAGCAACGTGCGACGGTGCATCAGTAATAAGTAATTCTGAATCAACATTGAGCCTAGCCGAATCTACATTAGCACGAGCAGCAGATTTTTCTAGAAGTTACCCCTCGCTAAACAAAACGAAGACGACATTAGGAGCTTTGTTCTAAGGAGCTTATCGTCGGAACATTGTCGCTAAACATTGTCGGAACCCAGCACCGCCAGGCAGCTGATTGATGCCAAGCTGAGCCATGGACTAGTACCAGATAGAACCAGGACAGGCACCACAGGCTTTAGACAAGTTGAAGTATTCAATAGTAACTGATCGGTCTAATCGGCTCGAACCGCCTTAACCGTACAGTTGCAGAAGCTAAGAGACGAAGTCGGCGACTAATCTTCCGAGGAGAACTACCAGGTCCAGCGATTTGCATTCTGAGCAACGAATGACCCGAGAGAGGAAAGCCTTGGGACTGCCTCGGGGGTTCCGTGACTCAAGGAGAGCAAAGCAGCAGTCGTCCCCCCGCAAGGGGATGGCATGGAATGGAATGGTGAGGCTCGGCGGCTTTGTTGGCGCGGAAGCTTTCTGACATGCTCGTCGGCTGATTGGGCCGACGTTTGGCGCCAAAGCCACCCACTTTGAAGGCTTTCGGGAATGTCTCGCTGCAACGTGACTCGGTACCGTTTCGTACGCGACGCCCTCACAAGATGGTGGACGCACTAACAGTCAGCTCAGCATCCAACAATGCTGGTTAGGTATCCTTGCACCCAAGCTCATACACTCTTGTGTGCACTGCGTAGCCCTCATCCTGCATATAGCAAAGGATAGCAACATGCACCCATAATAAATCATACATCCAACACCCCCCTCACGGAAACAATCATGATGTACTGGATAAATCATACATCCAACACCAGCTGCCAACTCATTTACTGGTTACCCTGGCATACAACTCAACAAATGTACAAAGCTTGGGGTCCTCTGCAAGGCACTTGTCCGTGGGAAGCTTGAGCAGTCCTGCAACGACTCCTTTCAAAAGCCCACTGTCACGGCTAAATCAATAGGGGGATGGGAAGGTTATGGTTACAAGTGTGGTTGCCTGTGATTACTGCCCTCGTCACAACTGCACCATTGTACTTAGGGGAGTTTGCTTGCGCATACCCCTGATTATTCCAGTTCTTGTTGCGATCAGAAGTTGATCGTGACCAGGATCACCTCAGGAAGCTTCGCGTACTTCTAATCTAGTGGTGGTGGGCCCTTGACCTCAATAGCAGAGTGAATGTAAATGCTTGAGATAATAAAAACATGCAATACAAAGGATATAAATAAGAGTACAAGGGAATTCGAAACGACCTAGCTAGCCATGTACTCTAAGGGGTACATTCCCTTATTACAGCGAAAAGCAACCGTGCGACTCCAGACAGTTACGAAACTGTTCGGGCAGAATCCTCGTTACTGCTGCTGCTTGATGCTGTGTGCCCGACGGTCCAGATGCTCTTCGTAACCGTGTGACCCTTCGTGTCACTTGCGCCCTTTCACCTTCAGTCTCGGTAGTGCGTGCTTCGATTGGTGCGGTGAGGAGTGCTCAATAGTGTTTTCAATAATCACTATTCCTAACACCCCCCTTCACTCCTGGCCGTAGCGAGTCTTGACCCGCTTGACTACCCCGCTGAGTTCGGAGCAGTGCTGGTACTGCTGACGTGACAGCTTCTTCGTGAGGAAGTCAGCTGCCATGTCACCCGTCGGGCAGTAGGTTAGGTCAACCTTGCCCTTGTCAACTTCGTCCTTGACGAAGAAGTACCGCAGCGCGATGTGTTTGGTGCGGTTGACGAATCCCGGCTTGTTCGCGATCCTGATCGCGCTCTGGTTGTCGCAGTGCAGGCGGAAGTTCGTCGAGGTTGGAATTTTCGCCTCCTGCAGCAGCTCCTGTAGGTAGAGGCCTTCGCGAACGGCTGCTGTTGCTGCGATGAATTCAGCTTCTGCTGATGACAGGGCAACCAGCTCCTGTTTCTGTGAATTCCAGGAGATGGGGCCGCTGGGCTCGAGGCGAAAAAGGAAGCCCGTTCTGGACCGTCGATTGTCAGGGTCAGCGGCGTGATCGGCGTCCACGTAGCCGATGAGGTTGAAGGACGAGGTTGGGATGGTGGAGTAACAGAGCCCGATGCTGGGCGTGGAGATGAAGAACTGGAGCGCCCGCTGGAGATCTAGTAGATTCTCAGCCGTTGGTTTGCGAGAGTACTGAGCCAACTGGCTCGCGATGTAGGAAAGGTCGGGCCTGCAGGTAACAGATGCAAAGAGCAGGCATCCCAACTGCTGCTGGTAGGTTTGAAGCCCAGCAGGGGATAGAGCTTTGATTTCAGGCTTGTGGTTGGGTCCTGGAGTGCGGTAAGGGGTGGAGAGTGGTGCAGGCGCAATGTTGAAGCGCTTGCTAAGCTCCTCTGCATACTTTGCCGCTGAGAGATGAATGGCTTCCGGCGAGTAGGTGATGTTGAGCCCGAGGAACTGCTTCACGTCGTGGTTGCAGGTGATGTCGACGCGCCCTGCGAGGTTTTTCTCGAATTGCTCAAGCAGCTCGTTGCTTGACCCTGTGTAGAGGAGGTCGTCAACGTAGACTGTGAGCAGGATGTATTCGCCGCGGATATCGCGGCGATACATTCCAGGATCGTGAGGCAGCTGCTTGAACCCGATTTCAAGCAGTATGCTGCTGCCAGAGTCTCGGTGCTTGCTTGATCCCATAAAGGGACTTGCGTAGCTGACAAACACGTGGGTCCCCGTCGCCGTATGTGTGCGGCTGCTCTACGTAGATCACGGCGTCCACTAATGCGTACAGGAACGCATTCTTCACATCGATCTGCCGGAGTGGTAGGTGTCGTGCGGCTGCGATGGCGAGGAGAATTATGACGGACGTGTGACGGCTGACCGGTGCAAATGTCTGGTCGAAATCAATCCCGTGCCTCTGATCGTAGCCACGCACCACCCAGCGCGCCTTGAATCGCTCAATCGTCCCGTCAGCTCCTGTCTTCACGCGGAAGACCCATTTGCCGGAGAGAATCCTTCTCCCCTTAACTGCTGCACGGTCGACGAGCACCCAGGTGTCGCGTGACTCGAGCGCACGGATTTCCGCATCCATTGCTTCGCGCCACTCCTTGCTGTGTGGGCCTGTGAGAGCTTGTCGTGGGTTCTTAGGTTCGATGATGCGCGGAGCGGTGGAGATGGCAGCGTGAAGTCCCAGAAGCTAAAGGCCAGTGACGGTGCTGTCATGGCGATGTTGGGTGACGACTTCCTGCACGTCGTCATCATCGCTTTCTGGTTCAGGCGGTGCTGGTGGTGCTGTGCCTCCGCCGCTTCCGCTTCCTCCTGCTGCGCCTCCTCCCGCTGCGCCCGTTCCTCCTTCTCCTGAATCATCGTCGTCGTCGTCGTCA